TCTTGGCCAAGTTTTCTGCATTAGCAAAGTGAGTTGCTGACACTCATCATCTCTAAATTTGAGGCACACAGAGAAACACCCTCGTGGGCTGTGCAGACACTGAAAATGTGCAGGGCTCAAGCTCCCCGAGATGGTGCAAACACTCAAGAGCAGCTACCAGGTGTCACAGACAATGATGCTCTTCAATTAACATCAGCAGCATCTCACCAAAAATCATTTCTGCCTCTCCTCTGCTCCACRGAGCTCAGAGCAGAAGACAAGAAATGCAGTGAAGATGGAAGACATGCTTCAGGGTTTTTGTGCCAATCACCTGAATCATGTACACGGCTCAACTACAGTGAAACAGTAACCAGGCAAAGAGAAAATGAATAAAGGCCACATGTAGTACTTGAAAAATGACACATCCTATGCCTTCCTCTAGAATTTGAATCCTGAACAATATTACCAACCACCACAGGAAATACATATTCTTGTCAGAATATATTTCCTTGTGCAGTTGGTCATACAGTCAACAGACACTGCTGGCCTGAAATCCCCCTTGCTGGACTGAGCATGGATACAGCATGGCCTCTACACAGTGTAAGAAACAGAATTTAAAAGTTTAAGGTATGATTCGAATGACAGTTCTTTATTAAATATTCTGGGCATAATAATATAAYCTTATTTCACCWCTTCTCTGGGCTTTTWTACCTGMTGTTTCTGACAGTGTGTTGAMCCTTGCAATCCAGTAAGTTGGGTAGAGCACCACAAYAAAGCAAGCTAGAAGTTTCACTAGGTTGGTAAGCAGGAAAAAYGCAAAGTCACTTTGGATTATGTACTACAACAGGATTTCTTATTTAGCATGAAGCCAGCTCTGAACACAAACAAGAGTGCAGGATGTGGGCTTGGCCTCCTGACTACATCTTTCAAGTTACTGGAACCRCTGTGTGTATATGATTAAGAGTTCAACKTTCTCCCTGACCCAYCAAGCTCAAAATGACCCGAGGGGGRCAAGGGAGAGCCCTTTCACCTTGATAAAACCTCATTAAGGTGAATATTGCTCTGTACAGGCACAGCCATCCATCAATGTTTTTTGCCACTACAAGATCAGAGTCTGGTTTTGGGAAAAAGAAGTTAAGCAATGAAGAAAGAAGACAGAAATTATTTTGGCTTGTGTCAATGAAAAATAAAACACAAATAATTGTCTTTTGTTCAGATGTACTTTCAGAATGTGCCACTTGTCTGGTGACCACAGAAACTCATTGTGAGATAAGAGAAAAATTCAACTCCTTAAATCAAGACAGACAAGCAAACAGTAGTCAGTTGTCCTTGTTTGTTTACTAAACGTTAATTACTAACAGTAATTTAAATGGTTACCAAATAATATTCCTATTTAGTACAGAACAATCTCTGGTTTGATTTGTGCCTCTCTGTTTCAAGAATAATTAATAGATTCCAAAATTAAATACCATTTAAAGAAAAAAAGAAAAAATCCCACTTTTTTTTTTTCTATTTTAAAATTAATTCCAAAAAGGCATCAGGTGGGGAGAGTAAAAGAGGCTCAGGAGAAAATGATTATAAATTTCAAAGGTCTATCTTCTGCACACACAAAGAACAGCGAGTAGCACCAGGTGGTGTAGATCATCTGTTTTTTTTGTAAACAGACTGAAGACTCACAAAGGTAATACCTAGAGGAATTATCTTACTTTTTCATCTGCAAAGACAGCAACATTCATCAACCAGCCAGTCATACAGGTACATTATATTTTCCAAATATGTTGTGTCCACTGACTACCAAATGGTTRTGCCTTCTAMAAAAGATCACTAAACATCATTGTCCAAGACCCCAGGACAATTCTTAAGATCYACAAGATGAAAAACAGTAATTTTTRTACTCTAAGGGGAGCTGAGGGAGCTACATTCACTCCTGACACAGTGCTCAAGTGAAAGAAGTCCGAGCACTTGGATAGAGCATTCCAGAAATACAAGTAATCTACAGCTATTTTCCTTCTACAGATATATCACCTGAACATAAAACTGTAATTTTTGCAATAAATATGACCCATCATTTAGCAGCGAGGCAAGAATAAATCTGGCTAATTTATCAACCCAACTGCCAAAACATCAATAGCGCTGTTAATGGAAGTTGTTATTGGATGCCTTGTCCCAGGGGAACTTTGGTTTTAAAATACTATCAGAGGAAGTGTTGGATATGAAGTTGTATCCAACTTACTTATAAGTTGATGGCTGTGGATGCTTCAGTGAGTCAATCCAAGCTTTTATTTAAAGTGGAGAGTCCCAGCATTAGCCTGCTGTAATTTGAAATCCCAGCTTAGGTCACAAGCCTATACATTTACCAGAAATSCTTCATCTTTGGTAAGACTGCTCTCAGGGGTTTCTGTAAAACCAGACTTKGGAATCAGTGAAGAGATTTACACTTAGAAGATCTTGGTGCAATTCCTTGCTCTTTCTAGAACATTCTACCTCCCTACCAGAAAAGATTTGCTAGCCCTACTACGTCTTCTCAGAGCAGACACCTTCTTGTGTGAGTGAYAGATCAATAAACTACAGATGTAGTGTCAGTCCATGTCACATGGACTGACACTAAGGTCATACAAGCTCACCAGTAACGTGAAATATGAAACACGAGACAGAGATGGATTTACTGAAGGCCCTAAGTAGAATGTATTTTCCACACAAGCAAACCCATGACAGTGGAAGAGTGAACACATGAACGAACCCCTTTTCTTCTTCTCCTCATGCTCACGTCTTCACCAGCTCTAAAAACCACTACAAGCCAACAAAAAGCTTTGAAACTATAATATTCTTCAGTTAGAGGATCACGGCCACATCACACTGCTGCACTAAGAATGGATTCCAGCACAAGCCTGAAGTCAGACCCAGCCTCTGGTCAAGCCCTGGCCAGGGTTGGGCATGTCCCACGGTCCTTGGCTGCTGCAGAGGTGCAGGAGTGGAACATCCACAACCCTTTGGGAGCASAGAGCTTGCTGCAAGATTCAAGCCACCATCCTCATTRTGGRCGTTCAAACCCACAGAAAGACCTGYCACCCACTAAAACCAACATTTTATMTGCCATGCTGCCACATACTTCRTGGCATCCCTGCCACCTAAGAYAGCAGAAAACCAAAGCTGATATAATATCAATTTTAATCAAGAAAAGCAAACTTGGTCTGAAAAACCCAATCCAACACAGGACTTCACATCTACACTTCAGCCAGGCCCACAAACAAACCAGTGGCTGCCACATCCACCACTAAGAGAGGCTGAGAACTTCAGAGCACTCAGGCAAAAATATTACTAATTTTAGGATAAGCTTTTAATATTTAGTATCCTTTAAACTGGTATCTTACTGCTGTTCCTCATGATGACCTAAAGAAGCAGTTAAGCTGCTATTTTTTTATACAACGTTAATCCTGCTTTGAAAAGATTTCCACCTCCAACAATCACCACTTCAACATCTCTAAATCAAATATAAAGAAATAGAGACTGGTTAAGTTCAAGTACTTTCTACTACATCTAATAGCAGTATCCATCTAAAGCAAAACAATGTCCTTGAAATTTATGAACCCTATGAACCTCTGAGACTATTTAAAATGATCTTCCCTTTTCTACAAATTCTACTATTTGTATGAAATTTAAGCACTGATAGAAGTTACCCATCTATTTCAGAYCATGTAACTTATGCAATTAATTTATTCAAGAAGGATTCTCAAAACTCAAATGTATTATTTTACCAGCACTATATGAAAATGTGCCATAGTGCACACATTTTTGAGCAGAAAGCATACATCTTGAAATTTCTTTAAATGAATGGGTTCAGTGATACTGAAAGGGCTCCTCAGCGCTGAACGTGCAGCCTGGGTGTGCTTGCAGGACTGGGTACTCAAGACTCCGGCTTGCTAAAGCAGATCTGAGACCAGCAGCTTCCACTGCTGGCGTTTTTCACCCAATGCTAGTGCATCGAAGGAAAATTAAGCTCCATGGATAGATGGATGGATGTAGCAGAGAATGAAAACGTGAAATGCAGCTCCCATGTCCTGCGAGCCCGCTCAGCGTGCCGGAGTTCCGTACCAAAAGCGGTGCGTACGGATAATGTGCAAAAAAAAAAAAAAAAAAAAAAAAAACCCTTCCTCGGAGTTGGCGTATTTCACGGTGTTTGGGGGCTCGGCAGAGCTGGGCGATACCCGGGGCCCTCTCCCGCCGGGTGCTGAGGGCAGGTGCGCGGCCCCGGCTCCAGCACCACCCCCGCCCCGCCGCAAAGCCGGAGGGTCCCCCGGGACCAGCCCCATCCATCCCGATGCCTCAGTGCTGTSGCCCCGGAACACCAGRCACAGCGATCTGGTGATGAAAAGTTCGATTTTGTGATGATGACATCCAAGTTGGGCTGCTCCCCGGTACCATCTCCCATACGCCTACGCCACCCGAGACTCGACAGCGAGCCGGTACAGACATCGCTACCCACAGCCATCAGTACCCCGCCGGCCCCAGCCCCGCCAGCCCACGGGGCGGCACCGTCGGGCCAAGGGACGTGACTGCCGCCSGGCCGCTGCCAAAATCCCCCCGGGAAACCTCCCCGCGCTCCGGGGTCGCTCCCTGCCCGCCCCGCGGCCCCGAGCGGCCGGCGATGAGGAGCGCCCCGCTGCCCGCACCGCCACCAGCCCCGGCCAGGGCAGCATCCCCCGCCCGTGCATCTCCCCCGGCGCAACTCGCGGGGAAGCGGAGCGCAAACTGCTGCGGAGCCGCTGCCGCCGGRGCCGGGGCTGAGCGACATCCCAACCCCGATACGGATCCGGAGGAGGATGGTTCCCCTCCGGGCGGCCCCAGCGCATCCCCGAGACGGCTCCGCGGGGCTCCCTCTTTTCCCGGCCGAACCGCCCCGAGGGCGCCCGTGTCCCCCTCWCGCCCACTTTTCTCCAGCTCCGCACAACTTCTCCGGGACGGCGGCCGCCCCCCGCCCCGTCCATCCCCGGCCCCTCGGCGCCTCCCGCCGCGGGTCGCACCTGGTCGGGCTGCGGCGGCGGCGGGTTCCCCCTGCCGCCCGAGTGCGCCGGCTGCTCCTTCATGGCTGTCATCGCAGGGGCTCGGCTCGGCGCCTCTCACTGCTGCTGCGGCCCCGGGCACCCCTCCCTCGGCGCCAGCCGCATGACACCAGCCTCCCCTGGAAGTGGCGCGGCGGAGGAGGAGGAGGAGGAGGAGAAAGA